AATATAGAATATATAGTGGAAGGGTAGATATAGTAAGTAGAGGGTGGATATAATAGAAAAGTGAATATGGTAAAAGGATGAATATGGTGAGAGGGTAGAATATATAGTAGAAAAGTAGAATCTATAATAAAAAGTATAGAATCTAGCTATTCGAGACTAGATTCTGAGTGGTATGAGAGTAAAACGAGTGTTATTTTCCTAGTATAAGAGTAATATAATTATAAATATATGGTAAATTACTCTCATACTATTAAAAGTGAAATATATTATTCTCATGCTACTTAGATTCTATAATAGAATCTATAGTGAGGGTGGGAGGGTGCAGTCTATAATGAAGAGGTGGTTTATAGTGGGAGGGTAGATATGGTGGGAGTCATATATTTCACTTTTCGTAGTATAAGAGTAAATTGCCGCATATTATATTATAGAAAATAGTAGAGAAAACGAGAGAAGTCGCGATAAAATATAATAAACTCAAAGCTATAATCAGAGAGAAAGAGAAAATAGTATCAATAGATTACTCGTAATAGATAAAGAAAAGAGTATAGAGAACGTAGCGGCAGTACTATATTAAAAGGAACACTAGCAAATAGAAAGTATATTTACTATATTTACTATATTAAGTAGATTTTCCATTGTAGTATTATTAAAGTTGAAGAGTGACTCTGAGTAAGAGTATATTTCTTGCGGAAGCGCTGTCTAGAGCTATAGATAATATATTATACCTTAGTAGTAAGTACTATATTATATATTATTTCCAAATCAGTATTGGTCAATCACAAAATTTAACAGTGATTGAAACGCACTATTTAAATACCATAAGATTGAAGTAGTTGCCGGAAATAATATAGTCAGACTAATGCTATACATGATCAAGCAAAGGTTACTATCATGATGCAAAGATCCCCAGCCTGAACAAACCGAATTCAATTCAAGCGAATTGAACCCCCCCGCGTTTCCCTTCCCCTTCCCCTCAAAAGAAATCCTCAAGGCCTCCTCTATTGGTTGAAAGTATCTAAAGTATTAGATCGTTTTCAAGAGATACATCTAGAGCACAAAAGATCAAGATTTCAAAAGGAGGAACGAATGTCAAAGGGGGGGGGAGGGGGGCCGGGGGTAGGGTTTTAAAAATGTAAAAATGAAATTCAACATACAACAGTGGGGATTCGCTGGTGGTCACCCACCCAACTACTAATCCACCGATCTGAAGCTTGTGTATGGCAGAGCGGACGGGATGCCCAATTCTCTTCAGTCTATGGTCGTATGTGGAAGAAGATAGGTTATTTGGGAAGCTATTGTAGTTGTGTTGATGGGATTGCGTGTTGGATATTTGCGCCACAAATTAAACACTTGGGAAGATGAGGACGTCCGCTCGTTGACGAAAATATGATGATTAGATACGTGCTTACCTGGTCACCATCGTAATATATAGGATGTATCGACAGCGTATAAAATATAAAATAGAAAGGAGAGTTTGGCACAAAAGTTTCTCGGCTTGAACTCTCAACCCACTTGGGTATCTTGGTATATCAAATATCCCATTTCAAAAAGATTGGACAAATATTTCGTCTAAAGTAATTCGTCTAATAATGGGATAAGTTCTTTGATCATCAAGTACATTGGAGTGACATGATTTGATGGATGACCCGAGATGAGTTTCAAGACGGAATCAAATCCACCCACCCAGTAGCGAAAATCACTGACCGTCGCTACTATGTGTGCATTATTGCGCCTCCCTCCCCCACGAGAACCCATAGGAAACTGGCAGTAACCACCTCATAATTTTGATCGCCGAGAACCTTGAAATGATTCCGGAGTGCATCTAGTGACTGACCGCTTGGTCGAGTCACCGAAAATCTTGTGTAGGTAATATTCATAATGCGAGATTTCTGTTCAAATCCTAGATGTTGAACAAGCTTTTCTTACTGACTGACACTATGTGAGTCAAGAGGAACATGTTTCTGTGAGATGAGTTGGTTAGCATTGCGAGTGACTCAATGCCAATAACTTGCGATTTTGAGTACCCAATATAGCTTTGTATATGACGGTAATGCTGAGTATCAGATCGTTAAGTCACAGAATGGGTTATATATAATGTATGGAAGGGAAATAATGCAATGCGATGTCTCCGATAGATTTGTTGCAATTACTGTTTGATCGTACGCCATTGTTGGTATGAGCTGAATGGTGGTCGCAAGGAAAAGTCGCCTTACTTACTGTACTCGTATATGATAACCTTGGAATGTTATACGAGCTTGGTTGGCAGGCACATTGGAAAATTTCGTTGCAGCACCATACATATATGCGTTGTGCGGCGGTTAGATTCACAAGAAGGGTTGTTGCATTTCGCATTAGAGAGTTGGCACAGTGGCGAAATAAATGGGTAAGATGATTCCGCTACAGTGAGAGGTTTGATCTGGTTCCAGCTTGAGCTCCTGTGTATACTGTTAACTGTTATCGAATACACCGGTGATAGTTCCCTGTTGATAAATAGATAGGCTCCAAATTTGAGGGGGCTAGCCGAATCCAGATATGGAAAATGTATGTTTTCGCAAGGACGTTATTGTTAAATGATGGGAGAAGCGTTCTGATAGTCCTGGTCATATATACAATGCTGCAATACTCCATTTTCCGGAAAAGGGCCAAAGGGTTGCAACAGCAAATCTGAATGGTTGCCTGCTTGTACAGTATGAATCAATCATTGAGAACGAACCCGCCGAGTTTTTCGTGTAGCACAAGGGCAACAGATGGCACAAGTGCTGCTGTCCCTAGACAAAGTATATTTTCCAGAGGGGAAAAAAGTAAAAGTGGAGGAAGTGAACCTTGAAAGTTATTTGAGACCTTTCCTTTTATTACTTCTTGCCCTGGTTGTGTAACATTGAGGAAAACATTGGTAGGTATAGGTCTGATACCGTTTGTTTTAGGTATTGTTTGGCGAAGGAAGGAGGTTAGACAAGAAGGAACTCATGATAATGAGTTGGTGGAAGTGGTGGTTAGATAGTACAAAGTCTGAATCGATTCGATAAATATGATTCGCAAACTCACGAGACGGAACATCGTGACCGTTATTGGCATAGCTATTAAGTAGGGTATACCGTAATAGAGCTGAGATATCGGAAACGTTCCCTTTCCCATCCCTTTTCATTACCATACCTACTTACTTCACCGCTATTCGTTCTGAAATCTTCCTTCTTGAGATTATATATCAGAAGGATCATACCTAATCATAAAACAAATTCCTGTACCTGAAGTCAAAACGCAATATGACCTGTTTCTCGGATAGAATACCTAGGTGAATGGTTATCTGGAGATGAGAGGAGGCTCTGTTTGGTTCTAGAACTGGCAATAATACATTTTAGTCTGAGGTCATTAAATTGCCAAGCCAAGTGTCATTCATTTATCAATAATATCTGTTATCGATAAAAGATTGACAAATGCAGTCAGTTCCGTTCAGTCCTAAACAGATAAAGAAAACCAACCAGATCCAGAATCAGATACAACTCTTACCAATCGGTAGGTAGGTATCTACTTTCTAAGACATTGATTAGAATTCCTTACTTATTACCCTTATACAAATATTGAGTCGCTCGGTCGCTCGTCGTGAATTACATATAATTACAGCTGAAATGCCTACTATAACTTCACCACACCAACATGCTATCTTGAGCTTCTCAACCTGGATCCTCCATTAAGCTTATCATTACAGTACCTACACAATTACTAGGAAGAGTTGGCGGCAAGCTCTTTGACTTTCACTATGTTTTGATCTAACTGACGTCTTCTTCCTCTTTCGGGTTCGAAATCAATCTACGAATAACTAGTATCCGTCTCTTGGAATTCAATCATACCTATTCTATTCCATAAAATACCATTTTGGAACCTTTGGATCAATTATCCCATTATCTTGGAAAGAAAAGTTACTTATTCTCACTATTTTGACTTATCTCACAAACAACGAACCTTAGGTGGAGATTGTATTTACTCAGCCAAAACATTCATATAAATCTAATAAGAAACCCCTCTCAGGTAATTAACACATTAACACCCGAGTTAGTTGCGACCCATCCAGTTGTTCAGTCAGTTCAGTCAGCTCCCCAGGTCCCCAGCTTCCCCATCAAAACCCAATCCTCGCCCCTGTTTGATCTTACCTACCGTTTCTCTTTCAATAATATTCATTGATCTTAATTGAATAAAACCTATTTCCGAATCATTCGACCCTTCAAAACCTCTTGACTATCCATCCGTTCACCGTACGAGTTCCTTCAATCAATTAGAACTACCTACCTACCCCCCACAGCCTTACTACCTACGGTCTTGTTTATACAGCTCCAAAACTACAACAAATACAACAAAGTCAAGTCAAATAGATCTTTAGATATCCACGACATCTGAATAAGCATATTTCGATCCATACACAATAGCCAACTATTATTCTTTACAAAAGGTCGTCGAGGATTTGGAGATCGACTGAGTTTCCATCACAGGCCAGTGCGGGGTCGATAAGACAATGGATTATACCATGGATGATGACGATATCGATATGCCATATGCGCCGCCTCTGCAACAAGCTACTGTCCCTCGTTGTCCATATAATCAAGCTTCGCGGAATAGCATCCATGCGCCCAACACACGGTACCCAGCACTTATGAACCCTTGGGCAGGCTACCATGGAGGTTACGTGCCCCCTTCGATGTATGGCACTCCCAATATGCCTCCAGTTCCGTATAGCGGTGCAACTCCAGGTTATGCTACACAGTACACACAATGGTCTCAAACTACACAGGTTCAGAACACTATGTATCCCAATTTTCAAGACCCACAACATCAAAATCAGCCGCCGCCTAATAGACCATTCCCTACTTTACCTCCTCCCGTGTCAGTACCCCCCGACTACTCTTGGTCGGCTCCCTGGCCTAACAATCCTCGGGCTAGGTCATCGTTCGCTGAAGAACCCGCTGAAGCGGACACTATCAATGATAATATCAACCATCAAGGAATGGACTACATGGGAAATAGCGGAGCAGGCCCTTCAAGAGAACCAGGTAAACTTCCACTTCGAATGTCTCATTATACCATTTAGATTTCTTTTTTTTTACCAGTCTGTGGACTTTTGATACCTCCTTTCCAGTTATAAAACTATTCAGAAGCTGATATTTTTAAATCAGCTCAACAACGGCGGCGGGAGCGGGAACGGCGGGAACGAAATACTCCCTCAGGCGCTAATTTGGAAGCCTGTGAGTACACCTACATTTGCTTTGACACATGATGTATATCATTGCCGTTGTTTTAGCCAGCTCCTAACATCTTCTTCCTGTATCTACATTGTTGCTGCTTTGAAGATCATACAAGATAATCGAGAGGAAGGTGAAGACAGTTGACTAACGCCGTTTTAGCAATGCAATCCAATCATAGCAATGCGTTTTCTGACAGTCCACTTCCTGTCAACGGTTCCGAGTGGGGTCGGCCGAGTGCTAGGCAAGAACGGCGTGTGGCTGAAGCTCAACGCAGAACGGCTTCCTTTACAGGTGCTAGAAGAAATACAGAAACAGACGGTGACGAGTTTGGACAAAGCGATGATGATGACGACCTGGAAGCAATGATTGGATATTCTCAATACCTTCAAGTGGCGGACCAGGGCACACTGGCTTCTGCTCTACGTGGTCGTTTTGGAAGTCTTGGAGGTCTTGGACTACTCGATGTGAGTGGGAAAAGAATGCCATCCAAGGACTTTCTGCTCTCACTCGAGAGCCCAAACCCCGATGAGCTGTCGAAAGAAGAACGGAGTAAGTTCAAAGCAGAGTTCCATCACTCCTTTTTCTAATCACATCCAGATTGTATGATTTGCTACAACGACTTTGGTGTAAAGAATCCTGAAGGCGTGAGCGAACAGCCATTACGTTTGCCCAAGTGCAAACACATATTCGGAGCTACCTGTATTAAGAAATGGTTCAAGGAGAACGACAGCTGCCCGTATTGCCGGGATAAAGTTCCCTCGGAATCTGCCAGGAAGGTAGTGTTGAGGCAAGCTCGCCAGTTGATGCATGAACACATGCGAAGGCGTTATCAAGCAGCAGCCGGTTCTGTTGAAGTCGGTCCCCTCAATCCTGGGTACGTTCTGACTAGTCCTTCTCCGCAAAATAGCTAACGTGCGAGAAGCGCACTCAATCCACAGGAACATCACAGCATGCCTTCGGGCGATCGTACACCACCAGTCTGGTCAAGACCATCGACAGCGGAGACAGCGGAAAGTCGACATCGCGTTTCCCGAGGAAGAACTTTGGTCCATAGAGCAGCTCTTCAATCAATGCGTCAGAATCCGATGAGTTCTACAAGATTCTACACTCCCACTTCACAACTGCAAAATGAAGCCAACCCTCCTTCAACACATTCACGACATAATTCGAATTCGGAAGGAGTATCACCAGCGATAGCTATCGGATCCACCTCAAATAACGGAGACCGACAACCAGCTCTGCCCTCAACCAATTCATTGGGAAACTCGGCGAATTCAAACAGTTACATGACGCCAACAAACTCGTCGCCAGCATACTCGGCAATTCCAAACAGTTATATGTCTCCATCCGCACCCCCTTATTCTCAAAATAGACCAATCGCATTCGGATCTATGAGGGCCTCTCCATTCGACCTAACTCAACTCGAGAACCCCGCCCACTTTTACAATTTTCAGCCCCAAATTTCTCAACAAGATGATTCTACTGCGGTTCAAAGCCAGCAACATGCTCTGCAACAGGAGGCCATGCAACAGAGAGAAATGGAGAATCGAACCAATGAACAGCAGTTTCATCCACATGGGAATATGAGAGGCTTCTAAGACCATTTTCAACGAAACGGATCATCTATGGACAAATCTCAAATTGCAAATATAACTCACCCTCTTCTACTGGAACTCTTTTCATCGACTTTCTTTTATCATCTCTTGAAACGGCCATGCGCTCATAGGAATCAATCGGAATATGTGGACATGGCAGGCAAGGCGTACTGGGGAGGACAAGGAGTTCCAGGTTTGCATACCATTTTGAATGGGGAATCTCTTGTGTATCAGAGGTAGTATGAATTTTCTTTCCTGCCCAAGAAAGGGTTGGCTGAGATGGGGATGATGATAGCGATGATAATGATCTTCCACTTCCTGGTTGAACCAGCGTTAATACACATAAGTAGTCAGCGAATAAAGAATTTTAAAAATTAATTCCAGGTCGTAGTTTATATTGATTTATTGATGGAATGCGAAAAAATAATTTTAGTATCCGCTTTGGCCTCAAATTCTTCATAGGGCAGGCTAAGAAAAATGGCAAATTTTTACATCTTGACACCTCATGAGGTCAAAATTTGTAATTTGTGTCACTATATTAAATTAATTCTATCTTGATTTCTATCTACTGAGAGTAGATAGGATTGAATTGATACGAATCTTCCCAGAGTACTCGAGTACATTCATTGCTCAGTAGTTCGTTCCACTGGATTAGCCAATTGTTCGGATCTGTTTTTAGTCCCGTCATGCAAGGCTGACAAGGCTGATTTGTTCCGCCCGCTTAAATTGTTTTATGAAAGGCGGTAAGATTTAGCAGAAAAAAGTTCCCCGTCAAGTATCGGCTGAAGATAGTAAATAATCTTCACTTCTGTTCAATTATAGGATAAAGCTTGTTTCTTTATAATCAGTTTCTTCACAATTTGGATTGCCTCTGACAATATTTCTCTACTGTTTTGTCTATCTTTTTCACGGGAATTGAAGTCCTAAAATAGGCGCAACACCTTTAATATTTGAGTCCTTCGAGAAGTCGTCGGACAACAGAACTTTAGGGATCTACTCATCGATATGCCTGAGAAGGTTCTTATTAAATTCGGCGATGATGCTGATGAGATACCTAAGATTGTGACCGCGGCGTCGTCCTCAAATGCGAAATCTACGAAACGAGACCAGGCACAGTCACAGTCACAGTCGCAATCGCAATCTGCGAAATCTATAGGCACGAAACGTTTAAGAGATGGGAGTACAAAATTGGATTCGAAGAGGAAGAAGCTAGCGGCAGTTCCGGATAAGGTCGCAAATGCAAATGCAAATGGTGCCAAGTTAACAAAGTTAGCGCATGCGGAGAATGTAGAGGATGCAGAAGAGGGTCTGAAGCAGAGTAATAAACAAACTAGGGCTTCCAATGTTGCGGGAAAACAAGCCAATGCAGTCAAATTCTCTGGAGACAAAATGGAAGGCCGTCAGGGACAAAGTCAAAGGTCTGGAGGTGGGTTCGATGGTGCCAAAAATGCGGTTCCGGATAGGCATTTACAAAGGACGGCTAGGGAACTAGAGCCGTTTCGAAGATCTCTTCCGGTGTACAAGAAAATGTTCAATCTTAAAACCGATTTGCGCGACAAGGACGTTCTTCTCTTAACAGCAGAAACTGGTTCTGGAAAAAGTACTCAATTACCTCAATTCATGCACGATGAGCCTTGGTGCAAAAAGCAGAAGGTAAAGGTCAAGAATGCGGCGGGACAAGAGGAGGAAATATCAATTGGTGGAGTTATAGCTATCACTCAACCTCGTCGTGTTGCTGCTATTACTTTGGCCCGTCGTGTGGCTGCCGAAATGGGTTCCGCTCTTGGATATCAACGTACCAATACTCCTGGAAAGGTCGGTTATTCCGTTCGTTTCGATACCAACACACCTCTTGGAATGAAGATAAAGTTTGTTACCGAGGGTACCTTGCTTCAAGAAATGGTTCATGATCCAAACCTCAGAAAATATAGTGCTGTCATCATTGATGAAATTCACGAGAGAGGTGTCGACGTGGATCTCATTGCTGGATTTCTTCGACAGATAGTTCATGGCGATAAGGAAGGTCGTGGTGGTATTCCGTTGAAAGTCGTGATCATGAGTGCAACTCTTGACTTGGGGGGATACGAGGCATTCTTTGCAAATCCCGGATCGCACCCTAGTTATCAACCAGGGAATAACTATGGTTCGATACTTGCACCACATCTTGTGAACAATGAGAGAGTCATTGAGGCCGCGAAGCCAATGCTGGCTGTCAAGTCGGGAAATTCAGAAATGACTGAATTTGAAGAAACAGAAAACTCGGAAGATTTAAACACTGGTGTTGCCATCGAAGAAGTGAAGGGTAGAAAATTCAAAGTTGACCTATACTACGACAAGCCAGCCGACCCTAGTAACTATCAAGAAACCATGTTTAAACGCATTGCAAGTATACATGTCACGGAACCCCTTCCCGGAGATATACTCGTTTTTCTAGTCGGCCAAGAAGAGATCGAATATATGCAAACTAGGCTTGAGGCACTTGGTGAGTCGCTCAGTAAAGAAGTGCCAAGGATCAAGGTTATACCGCTATATGGTGCTCTTCCACCAGATGCTCAACAGCTGGCTTTCGATCCAGTCAAGGAGCCTAGAACGAGGAAGATCGTACTAGCCACCAATATTGCGGAAACTTCAGTAACTGTTCCAGGTGTGCGATATGTAGTTGATAGCGGTAAGGCCAAGGTTAAGAAGTACCGCACAAAGTTGGGAATGGAATCTCTGCTCGTCGTACCAATCTCTAAGCAGTCTGCCCTGCAAAGAATGGGTCGTGCCGGTCGTGAGGCGTCAGGTAAATGTTGGAGAGCATATGGTAAAGTCGAATATGAATCATGGCTTCAGGACGAGGTTCCTGAAATTCTCCGTTGCGATGTTCTAGAGGCAGTACTCAAGATGAAAGCTCGTGGGGTCCAAGATGTCATTAATTTCCCTCTCATGGATTCACCTGATGTCGAAGCTATGAAACATGCTATCTTTCAACTCAATGCCATGGGAGCTCTTGACGACGAAGGCAATCTAACCCCCGACGGTAAAAAGATGGCCAGTTTTCCTCTCCCCGCCGCCTATGGCCGCGCTCTCATCGCCTCCTCATCACCAGAATTCGACTGCGTCCTCGACGCCATCGACGTGATCTCACTTCTAACCGCCGACTCGGAAATTTTCATCCAACCCAAATCCCAAGAACAAGAAGAAGAAGTAAACGCAAACCGCGCCGATGTAATCCGTCGCGAAGGCGATCTCCTCACCTATCTAACCACAATGCAACGCTACGCCTCCGAAAACACAAATCGTTTCCAATGGTGTCAATCCCGCAACATCAGCGCACGAGCCATGAAATCCGCCATGCTCAATCGCAAACAACTGCGCCAACTAAGCGTAACCCACCATCTCATCGACGCACTTCCACCCCCGGACCCGCAACCCTTTGAACCCGCTACCCCCGAGAGAGCAGAATGTCTAATCCGAGCATTCTTGAAGGCGTTTGGTGATCGCACGGCGACGTTGGCGCCGGATGGTAGTTATATGACGACGAAGGGGAAAAATGCCGTGGTGATTCATCCGCAGAGTGTGTTGTGGGGGAGGAAAATGGAGGCGATTATGTTTTTGGAAAATGTTTTTAGTACGAGGAATTGGGCGAAGAAGGTTAGTGTGGTGCAGGCGGATTGGGTGGTGGAGGCGTTGGGGGGGTGGACGTGATGTCATGGGAAGGGGTGGAAGGAAGAGGTGGGATGTGGTTGTAGATAGGAGAATTGAATTGAGTTGAGTTGAGTAGATGGAAAGATGGATACCCAGTGGCATATAGAAGGAGGGTGAGGGGGAAGGGAGGAATAGAATAGTCACGATTTGTAGATATCATCTATCATATATGATATTGAGAATGAATACTAATGAAATCATCCTCTATATAATTTACCTCCCACATAGTCACATTACAAAACTTATTACAATCTCAGCACAAAGCTCTTGAAATTATGAAATATAAATACTAATCATACAATCTGAATCTCCCATTCATCCTCTTTCTTTCTTTCAGTCACTCAACTCAGTAGACTCAAGAGTTCAAAAAACAAAATATGATAAATAAGGTATCACTTTAACTAAAATCATGCTAATCGACACAATACCATCGATTATATACCCCCTCCCCCCTATTTCCTCAACCGATACCGACCCCCCACACACTCCAACCCGCCCTCCTCCACCTTCCCCCCCAACCACTCCAGCAACTCCTCATTACTATACGGAAAGCCCTCTGCAATCAACATCTTCAACATCATCGCAATCTGCGGCGCCCCCATCTGACTCGAGCTATTCGTCAACATGCTCTGCACAAACTGCCAATACACCTTTGCATTTTCACCCGCGATGCCTTTTTCTCCCTTGCCTCCTTCGCCTTCATCATCATCATCATCGTTATGATCATGATTAGCCGGCGCCGAAGCTAGCGCGTCGGAACGCGCGCGATCTGATGCGTTGAGGGTTTCGAGGACGGAGAATATTTGGGATGCGGGGGGAGATTCGTGGAGAATGAGTTTGGAGACCCAGAATTTGATGGCGGAGAGGATGAGGGCGGAGTCCATTTGTAGTTCGGTGGTTAGTTCTTCGATGCTCTTTTTTACGGTGCGTTGTTCATCCGTGTCGATACCGCTGGCTTCGCTGTGGAAACATGATATGATGGTGGCTTGCCACGTCGTACATTCTTCCACGACGGTGCGATCGGCCAATTCGAGCTCGACGGTTGTATGGCCGAGCGCGGGGAGCCAGGTGAGTTTTCGGGCGGGTTTTAGTGAGGAGAAGGCGTCGGAGTAGTGGGATTGAAGTTTGGTGATTTGGGGAGGGAGGGTAAATGTGGATTCTTGGAGAGGAGGCCAGAACAGACGGGAGAGAATTTTGGTGTGGAGAGTGGACTGAGTTGGTGGGGGAGGCGTGGCTTTCTTTTCCGCAGTGCTGAGGTCTTGGGTTTTGTGTATGGCCAGGTCAAGGCGAACAGAGTCCAGAATGTCTTTTAGCATTACTTCGCAGCTTTGGAGTGGGGCTTCTCCGAAGCGGGATTTGAGTAGTTCGAGGACTTTGATCTGGGGGTCTGTTAGCATTATTTATATAGAAAAGGGGCGGAGAAAAGTGCATACTTCTTTTTCAAAAGCCCCGTCGTTCTTCAAAAGATTCTCACCAAGGATGTTTTGGAACTCTTTGATGAAAACATCTTGAGATCCAAGAACACCAATCAATGTTCCAATGATATCCGCATTTTTCGACCTCTTATATCCTGGTCCTGCATCCACCGGATCAGGTACCCACTCCATATCATGCCAGTCTAGTTCTTCATCGTCAATCTTCTGTCCGGACTGCTCGGAACCATCGTCTAGTAATTGGGCCAGTTCGATGAGTTTATCCCCACCAGGTCCTATAGGGTTTCCTTGCGCATTTTCGGTGTCTGAGAGTAGACCTGTGATGATTATCCGAACTGTATCATCTCTTGAGCATAGGTATAGTTGTAATGGATATGCTACACGATCTAAAAGTACTTTCGAGTGATCGAGTGAGTGGAACGACCATATCATGGAAATGTAAGTCTGTAAAATCAATAATGTGGAAGCTCCCGGGTGAAGCAATCTCTCTTTCAAAGTAGCGGCAAACGCCTCAGTCAGATGCAAACGTCTTTGGGGAGTAGTAATAGTCGTTCGAAGGTCGTGCAGTGCCCCATTACTATTCGGCCAATTAACAACGATATCAAACAGTTCATCAGTTCTGAGTGCTGCAAGACGACCGATGCTCATTTCTTTCCACTTTTCCATGTCGCTCCAAGCCACTTCAACGTCGTCTATAACTCTAAAGACCAAGACAGCGAGTTTAGAATATCGGTCTTCAATCCAGCCGCAAAGATCTGTGACGCAACTGGAGGGCGATACGTGATGTGCCGTCCGTGGAAGTACAGAATTTCTTCTCTCGCCATCTTCGATAGTCACGTGTATTTCGTTGGAGGTCCATAGTCCTTTACAACCTCGATTGACATAGTCGGTCATCGACTGGTTCATGATTTCGGCAAAAATCACCCGAAAATTCTCTCCTGCTAAACCGACTTTATGTAACGACTCGATTAGGTTGAGCAATTCATTGCAGACATCATCTGTCCTCGCATCGATGTTTGTAATACCAGATCCCTCTCCGCCTTGTAATCCAAGGATAGAAGAGACGTAATTCTCGAGAACCGCCTTTAATGCGACAACAATTTGATCTGTGAGACAATTGCTAACAATGGCATGGAGATCTCGCCGAAATTTCTCTAATTTTACCCGCGAGAGCCCAGGATTCGACAGCTCAACTTGTCTGAGAATGATTGACAATCCATGCAAGTACATACGATGAGCAAAGTCCAATATTCTTACACTGCCAAAAACCAATGATTCGTTGCCTTCTCCATCGGTGCACTGACGCAAGACGGGCAGAATCTGATGGAGAAGATGTCGACGGACTTGTTGGGTATGCCAGACCAGAAGGTCTTCCGTATGTATGGCAAAAGGCAAGCGCTTGACAGGATCCAGAATATCCTTCAAAGCATCGTCAAATGACGGATCAGGCAGTACCGACGGAGATCTGAGAGTCTCAATAGCATTCGCATCCGATGGTACATCTGGAAGTTGGAGTCGATAAGTAACAGTATGCCAAGATCTATCCCACTGAATCTGATCATGAATTTTATCTACAGACTGATCTCGTAGATGTCCTCTAAGTTGCTGTGAACTTCTCGTATCTGAAGAAGAAGAAGAAGAAGGTCTTTTTGACTCATTATCAAAGCCTTGTGGTCCTCCGAAAGGTTGACTCGGAGTTGCGAAGCTGCCAGTTGGTGTAGTGACTGGGGTAGGCTCCGAAATCTCGGGTTTTTTGAATACTGAATCAAAGACGCGCTTTTTTCTCGCAGTAAGAGTAGCCATCACGATTAAAATCCTATGAGATGGGAAAAGTTCGCTGCATTATTTCATAAACTTCGTGATTCGTGTCGCATTAATCGTCGGGTATCAAATGGGTATCGAAATATAAAATACGGTTTCACGGAAAGAGCTTCCAAGATATCAAAGATCGCGAATTCACGTGATCGGGCATTTTCTTGCTATTCGGACAAACACAACTACTTATGTCGAAGACTTGAATGTCTATACTTACCAGAGTATACCTAGTATTTATCTTTATGCTAGTCGGTGACATGATCTACAAACCATAGCTTAATAGATGCAGTGCTTAAACTAAAGTGAGACTATAAAAATATCTTGTATCTTGTCTTTTCGTATGACCAGACACGATCGACCAAGTCCATGTTACAATATTTATGTTTTTCAAGCCATTAGATACTATAAAATAATCAATGGATTTACGCCTCGCCACCTCTTTATTTGCCTGGGGCAGTCAGTCCTTCCCAAGTATTTTAGTAACAGTAACAAATGAAATCTGTTCTAAGCATTTTGGGCAGCCTGCCATCCATAACTCCCCTACCTTCCAAACCAACCCAAGGATGTCTATCTAAACTTGTAAGGAAAACGTTATTAAACATGGTATCATATCGACGTAATTCTCCCCGCTGGAGTGGTTCTTGGCCTTGGCCGTAAATTAATTACCGACTCGAGTTCTCGGAGCATTTTGGTATTGGCATCCGTTCGGTCTCTCGTAGACTCTCTCTTCACACGATCATCTTTCATTTTCACAATGCGTTCTTCTCTCGTCAACTTACTCCGTTGACGTGGTATCGCGACTGCTTCAAATATTTCCTCTACTTCGGAACCACTCATTTCAAGGCTAGATCGAGACCTGCCTTCACCATTCAGGGCCCTCAGAGCGTCAGCGGCTGTTCCCTCTTCAACAGCTGTGAGACCTCCCAGGGACGATGCTGGTGATACCATTCCACACATGGAAGATACTCGTTTTTCGTTTCTGTCGATATTAACTGCTAACGCAGCTTTCCCATCTTCCCACTCTTGCATTAACGCTTTTAGATCGATGCCTATGGAATCGTATTGCATCATCAAATTTGAACCAAGTTCAGATACATCTTCTGTATCATTCAATGATTTATCCGACTCTTCACGCAAAACATGCAGTTTTGCTTGTAGACCACGAATTCCAGAAGACAACGTGTTTAATTTGCGTAATTGTGCTCGGGCACGCTCTCGGCCTGGGGTAAGGGGTAGTTTTGGAGTAGTCGGGACTGGAAAGCCTACAACATATTAGACCTGAACAGCGTCGATAGATGGGTTTCAACTCACTCTCTTCTTCTCCTAATATGCGACGAACTTTATCCTCAGCGTCAGACGTAACGGAGCAAAGGGTATGCAACTCATCAACGGCAAGACCCCATCGATGAAAATCCGGTTTACCGCCGTGTGCATCAAACGCAAGAAGACAACATAGGAAAATCTTTCGAATAGTGTGAAATCTTGCAGCAAATATCTTCAATACCCGAACAGAATCCTCATCCTCAAATTCACCTTCTGTATAGCCTAGCATAGCTTCCGAATAATCCAAGCCACTGATGTCGTATACATCATAGTATTTATCCAGATCCATCTCTTCCGCCAATGGTTTCAATATGTTGCATGCTTGTATATACCGAGGGATAATGTTGGCAAAAGAAATCCGAAGGATCTTCCTAAGTCGTGTGCATCTTCGTGTTTGACTTCGGTCTTCGAGACGACTAACGGGGGGTAGGGGAGTGCTTCTGCTTCGGGCGTTAATTTTGCCTATGATCGAATGGTAGGGAAGTCCTACAGTCTATACCCACGAGATACCAGTTCAACCTCCTGGACGAGTGTTAGAGCCCCCGCCGCAACAGCATCAAATTTCTGCGCTTTATGAACGAATTGCGATGCTTCCACGATGGACTGCTGTCGAAGGTACTGAAGCCACTGTTTCCGTACATATGTATATAATATAATGGCGCATACTATTATCGCAGTAGATAGTATTACCACACGAATTTTCCCATGTATTAAAGTTCCATTCCCGCGTGTCCAATGTATTAACCATGTGAAAGAAAAAGCAAGTGTCGCTGTGGCAGCGGCACCCGAGAGAGTGAAGGGACCGAGTTGCGGGGCATCCAGTGTAGGACCGGTCGCATCTCGAGATTGGCCATAACCTGTTTGGCCAAGGAAGGAATGTGTATTGAGAAGTTGTGAAGCTACTATAACATAACGAAATCGTTCCAGAAACTTTGCATTATCGGCTCGACCGAGTCGTGAATTAACGGCTTTCTGCGATTATTTATCAGACGATAGGGTATGGATAAGTTCCAGATGACGACTCACGGAGCATGTATAATGTATCGCTGCGACAGTAGTATTGCGCGAGGGAGTGAGCTGCAAAGGTGGAGGAAGCTTATGTCGAAACTTAAGAGGTACAGTTGGTTTCCCCCGTGGAGCAAATGATGGACTCGACAAATCAGAGTCCGCATCCCCCTCATGACTTGATGCCCATTGTGTGTCCTCTCCACCTTCTCCTATGGTAACATGTCAGTAAGTCCCCACTCATGCATCTGCAACATGTTCTTTCACTTCCTGCATACCTTCGAGATAGGCGGCGAGCGGAGAGTCTTCTTGTATAATAGTCTCCATGGAATGCAAGTCGTTATTGATTGTTGCCGCCACAGTCCATTCCGATAAGTGTTATTAGAAAGAGTAAATGAATGAGTAAAAGACAGAAATCCAACGAAATTAGTGAATGTAGTGAGTGAGAGGTAGAACAATTGCCCAATTACTATTAGTTGTATTTTTAAAACAAATAACTCGAGAAGATAGGAAGGATATCGGTAGAAGACTTGACGATCCAAATACTACTACATCACCTCCCTTGTTCATTCACAATGACCAACAACAGGAGGCTTCGCGGATTCAAGGAAGGATGGTTGGAGAGTACCTACCTAGTACTTATTACTGTAGTACCTTGTACCGGAAATCTTAATGTGGATTAATCACCGATTTACCGATATTCCGACATTCCGATTGTACCAAAAATCAACAACCCCTTGATTTAAAGGTTCCCCCAACTACTCGAGTACTTCTTTATCAAAACATTGCTACTCTCGTTTGAAGTACTGAAAAGCCATGAGTTCGCCTCTCATTTCGGTCAATCTTGAGTTGAACCATAGAAACAAATTGTTTCAAGATGGCAGATTGATTTATCGAAGCGGTTGCCAATATGGAAAACTCCACTAAATTGGGGTTGATGAGGGTCTTTCAATACCAAATATCGTTTCATATCCTATCTATAGTTAATGAACTCGGACTTCATTTCCAGATCTTAAATAAGATTGCTCGGCTCGAATTACTACTCCCGTGTGCATAGCCTTGGTATTCTTGTGGACTCCGAAGAATTGGTATGGGACTCGAGAACCTTCGTGTGATGGGAATTTATGTTATTCGGAGAATTTGGTATGAAATTCTGGCAAAACGATATGATAGAAAGCTTTGGTTTATTGTTCACAAATTCTCAAAAAGAATAGGAACATCGGTCTCAGGAGAAGATTCGGAACTTCGGAAATAGGTGAGAACGACGATGTGCTTTTGTACCTACGACCTTGAGCTACCGTGTATTGTAAACATAGTCCAAGTCAGACCTCCGAGTTGCGAAAGAAGTCCTTCCTTATGTACACCATCTGTTTACCGGAAAGGATCTTGATCGGCCGATTCGCACCGCATAGGGGTGTGGATGATTGATCCACTACAACTTCAACACTGGCCAATACATTAATTGTCAGTTACGGCTCATACATCATCCCCCTTCACCTTCACTGCCGCGTTGCGGCGTTGATGTGGCGAGATGCAGAGGTGATGTTGTGGCTTGATGTTACACACACTAAAATCTTCCCAAGGACTCGGAGTTGGAAAATATCTTAACTCAATCAAATGCTTGCACAAAGACACATCTACAAATTCTTCAGTCGATGATACCGGAAGTATTTACAATCATATTTCCCTGGACCGCTTGAGTGGAACAAAGGCCTTCTAGAAGATTCAATTTTATTTATAGGACTGACACTAACGTGCACTCTCTTCGCGCAATTGGTGTGTTTTTACAAGCACTTGACTACCTGGTTTTTGAAGCTGCTTCGAGTTCACAGACTCTCCAGGTCTCGAGTGAGATAGGATGTTCCATTAGTAGGGCATCTCAGAGCCATGGCCTTTTAGCTGTGCCTTCTTTATGCAATACGCACGCGCCCTGTTGATGTCAAACAAGAAAACAAACGACCCCTTAACTCCGAGTACAACTTGCTTCTTATTCATGTTTCTAATTAAAGTTACCACTCATTTTCCTCGATTCTATCTGTCGTCCGGCAAGTAGTCCTCTGCGACACGACTAAAGATAGTATAAATTAGCACACTCGCAATCAGGCTGGCGGATGTGGATGTCACTAGCCAGCTCGAACTATCCGCAACAGCGAGCATTCGACTCGAGATTAGGACCTATCTTCGAAATAGCCTGGTTTCGTTTAATGTTGATTTCCTTCGGCCTTCGAGGACTAACAGCACTGATCAAGCTGGTTATCGCCTCCTCCCATAGTACCGAAGTTGAATCCTCCATGACCGACTTTCCTTTGATAATTTTTACTTAATACCCCATCATCTTCTTTTACCTTCGGAAACGTAGCTACTGCTCGTGCCTGCACGAGGCTGGATGTTTCCCAAAACTCAAGACTCATGATTCATGGGTCCTGCTTATAAGAAGAAGAAACAAATGTTCTTCAACGAAACTGAATAAGGATGAAGAAATTTGACACAACCTCAACGCGAGATTTATCACGATGCTATCTATACGAGAAAGTAATCCTTTCGTATCACATCAGAGCCTGGTGATTCTTCTGCCACACCAACAGTTCTCGTGAATTCAATGTGGGTGAAGATGGTGTTGGCTTTCTGCAGTACTATGCAGTGTTCTACAGCACATCTATCTCGAAACTAACCGTTATATCCAAAATGTAACAATGATATACGTTTTTTTCTGACTCGGTCAAAGTGGGCTGCATGGCATCGGACTCGGAGTCGCATCAAGGAAACGGAAACAGCAATGAATGAAGTTCGAAGGAACCATATTCTTGCAAGATATCTAGTGTATCAGAATGTTCAAGATTCGCAAGCTGCGACGAAAGGGGTTAGTTCAGCCAATCCGGACCAACTATCTTGGATGTAATCAACATCACGTGTCTTCGATTTTATAATGTTTACTTTTTAAAGGCGGAGACCCTATGCAGTAAATCACCAATTATCTGTGGCTATGCCTCAACTGTAGTCTGAGGGGAAGTGGCGATACACGATCTGTATCCTACTTAGTCACATAGTAGGTGGCGTGAGTCTTCTTATTCAAAAGGAATAGCCCATCACTATTCCCTTCATCGAAGAGTGAATTGCTTTATGTGTTGACTGATAACAGAGATGTCGTACTACCGCCTGCTGTGGATCGCAAAAAGCAAACTTCCATTCAAAGTATACCAAGGCTCGACAGTCTCCACGCATCTATAAGAGTCCAGAACTTCGATTGAACTTTCAATTGAACTTCATAGTTACCAAGTATTTACAATGTCTCTCACAACCCCAATCTACCCAGGTATTAACCTCGATGCCAACGAGGGACCTCTGTTGAACACAGTATCAATTGCTTTCATCTCCTTAACTATCTGCACTATCGCCATCCGCTCTTTTTCTCGTTGGTACACCGAGATTCCCCTCGGTCTAGATGACTTATTCATCCTTATTGCAGCAGTAATTCTCACCCAACAAAATCCCTTTCCACACCTTAAAGGCTTAACCTCAAATCCAAACTAACACAAGAACCCAGATTCTCTCGATTGCATACACAGCAATAGTAATGCACGAAGTTAAAACCAACTTCTACGGTCAACATATTGGTAAATCAGATCCAGATCATCTGAGAGCTTATATGAAGGGGTTATATGCATTAGTAATTTTTTATCCCATAGCTCTGAGCATGAGCAAATTATCGCTACTAGGTCTGTATTGGAGAATTTTCGGTGTCACTGGGGGCAGAATTCCGATTCATGTGGCCAGTGCCTTGAACGGGGCTTGGGGTATTGCTGCTGTAAGTTGATATATTTTTCCATCATTTCTTATGTTCTCCTAAGTTCCAACTCGGATGGTAGGCGAATATTGCGTACTCACTTCATGTCATATCATATCACATCATATCGTATCGATTCCGGTATCGTATGAGACTGGACCGCCTCCGGGAAGGAAAACACTAATACTCCACGTCTCTCTTAGCTTGTTGTGGGAGTCTTCTCATGCCATCCCATTCAAGCCTTCTGGGATTCAACCGTTCCTGCAAAATGTATCAACTACCCAGTCTTCTTCACTTCCAACGAAGCAATCACAATCGTTTATGATGTCGTGGTTTTATTCATTCCCGTTTGGTTTATTGTACAAATCAAGAAGAGTGTGGGGGAGAGAATTAGTATCAGCTGCATTTTTTTGTTGGGGCTCGTGTGAGTATTTGAATAATGGCTAGATTGAAATTATATGCTGATATTGAGCAAATAGCGTAACCGTTGTTTCAGCAGTTCGACTCTGGAGGTTAGCTGTCGCGCAGAGAAAGCCAGGGTTTGATCCTACTTGTATGTCTATCTCTTCGTCTCATCTTCCTACCCCTTTCCTCTGAACACCAATACCTCACCCCCCTCCCCCCTTCTGGATCACGAGCTGACACTCGGCAGTCAACGAAACAGACGCCGGTCTCTGGGCAATAATCGAACTCAACCTCTGGGTTCTTGTCGCCTCCATCCCCACTTTCAGCCCCTTACTCGGGAAAATCTGGCGCGATCACGCCAAAAGAAAAGTCAAAAGTGGTGGTAGAATTGGCAGTGGCACATCCTCAGAATACCCTTTTAGTAAACCTAAAACCACAGGCACGTTTTTCCAGAAGAAGTCGAGGAATCTGGATTTAGATATGGAATCTGTGTTCGGGTTTGAGCTTGGGCATTTGAAAGGAGGTCAGCCGGATGTTGAGAGGAATGGCACGGCAGGGAGTGCGAGAACAGGAGCTAGTGGTGGTACGGGGATGAGTGGTGATAGTGAGTTTGAGGAAGGTCTGGGTATTCGGGTTGTAGATGTGGATCTGAATATGGAGGTGGAGGTAGAGGGGGTAAGGAACGCATATGGATATGCGTGTCACAGGGGTGGTGGTGGAAGTGGGGAGAAGGAAAGGTGGAGTGCTAAAGTGTGGGATTTGGCGGGTATAAGGGTTCAAAAAGAAAGGGATGTTAGACGGGAGGCAGGTATTTGGGTTTAGTATGAGGAATGGATAGGGTTTCTTGAGGGGGGGAACTAGAGGGAGGCTTACTAACTGAGTAGGTGATATCTCAAGCGTTTAGGTTATGGGAATAGCTTCAGTTTAGCTAGCTTAAAGGCTTGAAAGCGTTTAACCCTCCGTAGCTTTAATATAATCAAATCATCTTCTCCAAATGACATTTACCGGCTTTTTCATAGGGGAGGGTCTAGTAAAACTAGCCGAGATTACTAAAGGAGGCGAACTTGGAACTAGTTGATATCATCATATGAAATTCTTATGTTGTTGAATACGATGAATTTCGTTATTCAAATAATTCTCAGTAATCAGCCAATACGTCGATTTCAAAGTTTAAATAGCTTTCACTAATCACCCACCCACACCAACCAACCACAAGTCCCTCAGGCTCGGGTCTTCTCGGCGTACCCATCTCCAGTCTTAACTAGCAAGCAATATAAGATAAGCGCAGAACAAGAAATCAGCATATGAGTACACGTGAAGGGCGAGATCTCATACGAGTACATAGATCTAGATTGGCGAATGATGATGATTATTATTCTTCGTAGTTTGAGTTTAGTTGAGGTTCTACGAGTAGTAGGTTACGAGTATCGCTGCAAGCATTGTGAAAATCCAAAACTTACGAGTACAGTACAGTAATGTCATATCGTCATGTTTCTCTAACATCAACGCCTACCTAGGTTAATCCTTTTCTAAAGAAATTTTTGGAGGAAGATCGTGATTGGAATGGTGATTTGATGGGTATGACGGGTATATACGACGGGAGGGGTATTCCGTGATGATTATTAGTGCCTCTTCTGTTTTCTGCCAGGGCTTTGATATCGATATCTGGAAAGGGAAGGGAAGGAATAGATGAGTAGGTGCAGTGGTGGTGTGGTTGCGATTACTTATCAGATGCTCTTCTAATTCTTGGATGAGTTTTGGAATATGGTCATGATTGTAGGTCTTTTCGTATGGTAGTAGTAGTAGTAGTAGTAGTAATGAATTCATAATCGATTTGATCCTATATAATAACTATTTCGTATTGTATTATATAGAGTTCAAAAGGGCGTATCTCGTATTTGCATTTCTACATGTACTCTTTTTCCGAGCTGTCTTGTTATATTGTTAGATGTCGTTTCCTGTGCAAGTAGATCCCAAGATCCCAGGGAATATCAAGGAATTTATTGGATCTAATGATCTGTAAGGCTGAAAAATGAATGCTTAATACTTAATAAGTGATATGACATAGGGATTACTACACTTCTGAAAGCAGACAATCTAGGGCTTACAAATCCATCTAGATACATTCGAGCTTTGGTAGATACATACACGGGTAACGCCAAGAGATCTATCGGTAACTCTGATCAGTTGACGAGAAGGGGGGAGGGAAAGCGAAGGAAAATTGGAGAATTAAATCCGTATACAGAATAAGAGGCTGATGGATTGATGACAGAGATAGAGATTATATTACTTTTGATATTTGTAGTTAATTGGTTATTCTTTCAAAGCATTAAAGTATTTGGCGTATTCAAACCACTAATTACCCCCTGTAATATACCTTGTACCTCACCATTGCAACCTTGACTACAACATCATTTTCCGCTACATGTTCTCATCATTGAAAAAACACAACAATTTCATCAATCTTCTCAAACTGTGCATACACAAGCTCTAATACCTACCTAGGCGATGAAACATTTAAAGGGCTTGCATTATTAATCGTCTAATGTATCTATAATTGAGCTACCGACTTCCAATCTTGAAAATGGTCCATTTTTGGCAATGGAAAACCGATGTTTGCTACAAGCATCAGATACATCCGGTATATACTCTCTTCATACGCATTGCCACCAAAATTTCACTGGCAGTTATAAATACCATGTAATAATTGTAGGATGCGTCACAGATAGCCTCTTCATTGTGAGTGGGTCTTCAGTTCGCCGAACTTTCCACGTTACGTTCCATGTGCATCATGAGCTATGGTACATATATTGAACCATATGATTTCCTTGCATGCATCTTTCTCAATCGAGATCCGAGATCTAAAGTACGGGTATGGAAACCCGTGGATGCATGGTAGTTCCAGTCAGCTCAGATCCACCATCTCGGTACCCCCCCTTGTTGGCAAGAGTGCCGTAGGATTCCTCTATTCCTGTCTAATCCACTTTAGGATTTTGCTCAAACTGAGGTTTCTTATATGCCATGATGGAGTGTATACTTTTATCATATGTCTGTCTATCTTGGTGCATCTCATTCTTCAATATCTATATATATGAGAAGGTATCCTCACTCAATCCAATATACAATACATCAAACATCAACAGTTCTTCACAACATCACAGCTACTTCTTTCAACTTTCATACACTATTCAAGTCCCTATTCTCTTGTTGTTCTACATCTCATATAATACCTTTCACTATTCAATCATGTCTCGCAACTCCAAACCTTCCCGTCATCAATCAAGGAGCACCGAGGGTAAACCCGATGATATGATCGAGCAAGTTAAAAGCATCATCACCATACTAGACGAGGTAGTCTCCTCTCGACCCCACGAGTGCGAACCATATATTGCCTCTGCTCGCTCAGCCATCACTGCTCTCGAGCACCTCCGCTTCTTTCGCGACTCGGCACGATTCACTGAACAAATTTGGATCATTCAAGGTCTTCAGGACTTTGCTTTCTACGATGCAGACAACGGAAGTGTGAGAGAAATTGCGGATTTTTGCCAAAATGCATGGTTGAGAGTATTGAGAAACTACCCGGAGAATGTTGACGTCTTGACGGGTAAGTCAACATGAGATCCCATTACTCTAGATGATCATACAGCTGACACAAACATGATATCAGGTTTGGGTAGAAACTGGCTCCAGAGATCCCAAGTAACTCTAGCTCGCATTCATTGCGAAGAAGGAAATGATACCACAGGTACTTCCGACCTGGAGAACCCCTTTTCAGAAGACGATTCTGACGATTCCTCTCTCCTAGCACCACCCAATGATCCGCGCAGACAAGGTCCTCTGTACATTGAAGCTCGAGGCTTTCTCCAACCCGCTGTAGATTTCTTTACTCGCGCCATTCGAGCTGCCGATAGTCTCGGATCTACCGCCGGTGAACTACTAGCTTCGGTATGTCTCACCCTCCATGTATATGTTTGGAAATCTTGGTCTAATGATCAAATAGGCGGCAGAGTCACATATGAGTTTGGGTAACGTATCTGCATCACCAGCAGATGAACACGCTTTTACCCAGGCGATTCGGTATTTGCGTCGTGCGGAAACGACGCAGGGATATCAGTTGTCGATTTATATGCAACAATATCTGAATGATTATGGAAGATATGTTTCTTAACTTCTTTATCGCTTCCGTCCTCTTTCTCTCATATTTCTTACGACATCAAGCATTTCAGCGTGTACAGCTTCAAAAATTGAATGGATTTCATAGCATAGCATAGCGACGGCGATTAGATATTGGTCCGGGGCAACCAGTTTTGGATTCTACAGCAGGTTGGTCCTGTTTTAGAATTTCTTGTATCACCATTTGGACCACTACGACGACTAGATTTCTTTCCTGGCAACCTGTCTTTTTCTTTTTTGCACCTTTCTTATTTCTGCATTTTCAATCATTGTTCTTCGAGGGATCTTCTCATCATGTACTCGAGTATAATCTAAACATTTTCTTTGATTTTTTCTATCTAGATCAATCCTAGAAACTTCAACAGCAGACCTGTATTACTAGATATTTAGAATCAGCATAGCCAAAATAGCAAATAAAATTCTTGCACATCCTCAAATTCTCACATTATCTTGTTCCAAGTAATGATGTCGATGACGGACGGAGATCGAGGGGCAGTTTCACGTGATATGGCTAAACGACTGAACGACCAAAAAGCTGATTTCCCGAGGCCCCCCCCCCCTTGTTCTGCTCGAATCCTTCCGAAGCTAGGAATGAGACAAAGCCTACCGGTAACGAAAATAGGGTTTGAGGGATCGCGTTTATATTTTTGGGTTTAGACGCGGTGGATGGGTGGGTAGCTCCTCTGATCGATTGCTATTTCGTAGGTGTGGGTTTTGAGGGGAGGGTTTGATATTGGGAATATTAACGGAGATGAGGATACTGTAGTTGGGGTTTAGACTAAAAGTCGGAAACTTATGGGGACTGAATTTTGGATTTTGCTTTGAAACCAGGGTGAGTGGAGGGTCTAGCAAACCATTATTACTTTTTGGAGAGTTAAGGTGGTAAAGTCTGAACAGTAACTTCAAAGTCTGAATGAAGTCTTGCTACGAAATCTGTACTCGGGCCGTCGCACCATAGGCCAAGATAGCTGTAAGCTGGAGATAGTGTCATTACTTGGTACATAGTACTGACTACCGGTATGCTTAAACACAAGGTTGGAAAACATCGTATAGCAACAGTAAGGCTGCTGTAGATGAGGTGAGCAATGTCTAGTTTAAGGGTCTGAAGGATTTGCTTGATGTGATGGTGAACAGCTGGGGATGATGCAGGGTAGGCGAGGTAGGGATCTGTTCTGACTGCAATTGAGGCATACATCATGATTCATCGTATTTGAAAGGACCGATGTACTATGGTTGTAATGTCGGACCCGTGTTCTGCCAAAGTCTCAAAGGAGAGATGAGAAATTCTATTGGAGATGTACGAGTATTTGAATGAGAAATTCGGATGTATACATGGCTTTTGATTTTAGTGACTTCGCTGTGGCTAGATGTGGCTGATATCCCCAGAACCCGCGATGTGGCTTCTACAACTCATTTTCAGGCCTGTAAAATAAGGCTTCAAAGACCAAGCTCCAGAACAGCTCCAGCGCTCACATCATGGAGCATTTTAATAATCAGCTCCGCAACACCTCCAATCCACATCTGCGAATACTTCCCCAATCACGCAACACAACCTCCAATTGCCCTCTTGTAGTCTCGCACATAATTGATAACATTTGTCGCATCACATCACTACCGCAGTAAAGAAAAACAAAACTCGTCATCATGCTTACGGAACGAGAAATGCAAATAAGCCCGATTGTCCAGGAGTCGGTGATGCACAATACGAAGGTTCGTTGCTAAGTTTCCTAAGCTTGATACTTCTTGAGGAAGAGCTGCGCTGCGCTGCATAAGCTAGCTCCAAAAAACACTAATACTGATCTCACCATTACGTTTGCAATCTGACCAAGCCTTCTCGTTGCTTTACTCATACCATTGAACTAACCGCCATCTCATCATAGACCCTCGCAACTCTCCATAATCTCACAGCCTCCCTCTTTGGTGTCGCTGCCGGTATCCTCGGTCTGGAATCCTATCCGGGGTTTCTCTTCTACATCTTCTTCACGCTGCTCACTAGTACCCTCGTATATGTGTTCCGCATAGCTCCACATATGAGTAAAGATACGATGGGGAATCGATATTTTAGAGGGGCGTGGGAGTTTTGGACGGGAGGGTTGGTAGAGGGATTGAGTGGATTTGTGTTGACTTGGACTTTGTTTTATGGGTTGGTTAGGGCGTGATGGACGGGTTGGGAGAAAACTGAAGAGAGGGGGAGGGGTAGTGGTTATTGGGGAAGATTTTGAACGTATGGGCTGAAGCGCTGGAAGGGTATGAAGAATACTTGGACCTGGCAGGCAGGATATAATTCAGGGATATCAGTCAACCGCGACCGGCTCATACTCAAAAATCCTACAAACGAACACATAATAAAGAATGCGGGGAAGGGACGGGAGGGAAGCATGGATGGATCACAAACGCAAGCGAGAGGGGTAGGGCAACAGTAGGAATGGGGACATAGATATAGTGGTGACAGGAAGAAAGAGAGATTGCGCTTGAGATATTTAGACGCGGATGAATTCCCACCCATTTCGCGGTGGCTTTCAGCTAGCATGGCGCTGGGAGTTGAATGGGGCGGGACGAGGGCAGATATGCTTGATGTGTATATTTTGGAAGGGTGTTAATGTCTATTCTATATGTCCATATACAGCATTGCGGCATGGAATGGAGTTGAGGAATACCAGATTTCTTTTTCGCGACCATAAATTTGAGTGGTTCCTTTTTGCCATGTGATGAGATGGTGAGGACAAGTATTGGTAATATGGTGAGGTAGAACCACGCTTGTCGCTGTCTATCTATGTTGCATATTGGGCGTGGGGATTGAGGGACTAAAAATAATTGTAAATCTAGTAAACGGAGAAGACATTTTAGATCAGCGCAATAAACATCTAATAAGACCAAAAGCAGCAGCAGCCATAGCAAAAGAAAGATAAAAAAACCAAAAAGAAATTGGCGGTGCTGGGAATCGAACCCAGATTGAAGCGGGGATGTAAGGAGCTTGTAAAGACTCATCTTCATGAAGACCCTCGAAAGGAGAAACCACAACACCACGTGATACCATTACACTACACCACCGATTTATGATCTTGACCCAGTAATTCTAAGCTCGTGTTTGAATTCGTCACCAACCAGGCTTGATGGAACAACATTGGATGAGTGATGAATTAAGTTTTAGATGGGTTTGATTTATGATTAGTTTGTGTTATGTTGGGTACCTATACGTAGGAATTAATGGAAGATATGGAATTTTTTTGGAGTGAAGAGTTTTTGATGTAGTGGAGTTGAGTGGAGTGGAGAAGGATGCTGTTAGAACTTAGCTGGTGTTTAAGCGATGTATTGTGGGGGCGGTTGTAGGGCTACGGTATTTAAAAAGTTGAAACGGAGCGGAGTTCGGATTATTTCTTTTGACAGGTATCTTTCTTCCCCGAAATTTGCACGGGCAACTGCCAACAGACAGGTAAACTGCTTATCGCCTGGCACAGGTTATAGGGTTGGTTAGGGAGGGAATTGAGTTACGATGTGCATCTGCGCATCTCTCATATACTTTGATATTATTTGATAATTGTCTAACAAATAATTTTGGGATGTGTTCGGATAAAGTCAGAGAGAAAGCAAAGATTGACTTGTCTAGTTTTATCTGTTGCTGGTATTGTTTCTCAAACTATCAAATCTAAATCTAAATCTTTATTACAGAAAGTCCGCCTCCACGGCAGTGGCTCCCGGAGAGCCAGCGGAGCGTCATGTTACTGAATGTGAAAGAGATGAATATTAGGTGTCAAAGATTAGAGTTGCAACTACTCTACTCGAGTAGTGATGGATAGAGATGAAAGAAAGAAACCTTGGGAAGATTGTTGGGGGAACAGTTTCATGATTGGATTATAGAACCGAAGATTTCTAGCATGTTAGGTATTGGATCTGTAAGGTGTTTTTCATGAGTACAAAAAAGGCAGTTGTCTAACAATCATGATAAACAGTCATTTATATTTGTAAAAGGCTACCGTGAGATAGAACAAGAAGTGAATCTCCACACTATCATCCTTCAAGATGATTCAAACTCTATAGCATATAGCCATCCTATTGCACTCACTCTACACACTTAAGACTTATAGATACATTGAGAGTAGTATGGGTTCTGAACCTGGCAAACAGCAGCCTCAACACAGGTTGTAGATCCAGCGTAACCGATTCCTCCACATTGGTAGTAAGCAGCGACTGAAGTGCTGGATGGGTAAGCAGCGCCACCAGTTCCAGAAGCGAAGCCGGTCGAGGCGACGGTTGAAGATGCACCAGTTGCGAGGGTTGTTGGGTATGGTGGAAGGGAGTTGGCTGGGGCCTTTGAAGAGGAGGCTGGAGCAACGAATGTTGAGGATGTATCTACATCGGCAGTCTTCAAAGTTGTTGGGACAACCACGGCTGTTGTAGTGGCTGAAGCTTCTGGGATGGAGGTTGTAGGTTGTGGAGTAACAGTGACAACGACAGTCTCAGAAAGGTGGTTTGTGATTGTGGTTGTGTACAAGACAGTGCTTGGTGTGGCAAGGTCGGAGGTGACTGCTGGTGCGGAAGTGACGACAGAAGCTTGGGCGCTTGTTGCTGCTACGGAAGATGCTACTGCAGAGGATGACTTGGTCTTGCGAGGCTTCTTGGATGAGGTGTAGCCAGTTGGCTTTCCAGTTGGACCAGGGAAACCAGACGAGGGTCCAGTACCAGATGGGAAGTGTGGCTCTGATCCATTGTAGGCTCGGACTTGGAAGCTATGGAGATGGTTAGTGACTGTTGCGTATTGAGTATGAAAGTCATATTGTACTTACTGGCCGCCAGGACGATAAATGTTTGTTGCCATAACGGATTGGCCGAGCGCGATGCTGGCGAGAATGACGGCGTTGCACTTCATTTTTGTTGAGGTATGATTTTCGAAATCTTTTTATAGAGGATCTGGCCTACTTAAATGTATTCTTGTATAGAAAGAAGATAAAAGATGGCACAGCCAAAAGATTGGTGGCGAGAGCAGGTCTTTGAAGAAAGAGAGACTGAAGGTGGGATACTTCGAAAGCTGGTAAAGAGAAAAGAAAATCGAACGGAAAAATCAGAGATGAGGAAGTATTTGAGCGGCAACAGAATGATAGTGGATGATTCCAGATCATGGACCTTAGTGTGGGTCGATTCGGCATTCACCCCCTCCATAATTTAAGGTATATTGATCTAATGGATCAAGAAGCTTGAGTTAAAGCTCGGGGTTTAGATCTCAGCATTGTCAGCACTTGCTATTGGCCAATTGTGAGGAAGGTGAAGAGATGAAAAAAGAAGATTGGTGGTTTTTTTTTTTTTTTTCTTCCCTGACAAGATTTGCTGCTGTAGCCAGCCGCGTACACCAATCTCACCGCTGCTTAGGCTTTTCAATGAGAATTGGTAGGATAAGATTGACTTCATGTGTATACTATAGTATAATAATATATCCAATCTCTTGGAAAGCAGGGGAAATACCAGGGGTTTACATATAAAAATATATGAAATTCATCTTATGTTGATTTGGAGTGGGTTAAAATAAGTTTCGTTCTAGAATTTCACCCACACATTCAAATCATCACTATTCCTAAATAGGTAAAGACCTCTCGTCTAATATAGTTGATTTGATTAACGACGTTTCGAATTTAAAGTTCCAGCGAAACCATCAAAGATTACGGTATGACGGCAGGTACGCCATCGATCTCCTTCCTCTACAGGATCGTACAGCACAAGAAACACCTTTTCAAACATTCAAGGCGCGCTTACTTGCATTCAATACTTCCAATCCATGATCCCGCATCTCAATCTAGGCATTCGAGCCGCCAACTATGGTGATAACAGCAAGCCAAAAGATGATTTTACCGGACATCGGGTAACCCACCCACCAGCTTCGAAAGTTTTGTCGATTTAGATCTTCCGTGGTTGTGATTGTGATGTGCAAAAAGAATAAGCGGTTGCTTTACTTCGGACGTCCGATTCTTATCAGTCCAGTAAATCCATCGAATGTTTCCACGGGTTGGGAAAGAAAACCCTTGTTTAGCCCCCTACCCATTATAGCTGGTAAGGATTTCAGCAGTGATAGCCTTTATCACATCATTTTGAATATCCCTGACATGGTGGAAATCTTGAACCTTCGGTCAAGCAAGCAAGCAAGGTTTTGCCAGGCTGACCTCTTTGATATAAGATCATCATTGAGAAATTTCTTACATACGAAGGGATGAAACGAACCATATTTTGTTGTCAAAATCTCAACTCAATCTGATTGCTAGCCAAAGTAAATGTAGCGTGTTACTGGCAGCAGGTGTTTGAATATCGAATGCCAAGGCTTCGAGACATCGAGATGAATTCTTACCACAAGTTTTAATGGCGGAGATTTTCTTCTGGAAATCAAAATGATTCCACCACTCACTGTCCGGTGTCGGGTCCGTCTAGGTCCCTGGGAATATATATTGGGGTAATTTACCTGATATAGATCGACATGCGGAAATCCCGCTCCGACGTTTCCCCCTCTCGATCCACAACGATGAAAGGGTTCGCGGACTGCTCCATCTTATGAGATCAGGAGAATTTATTTGAAGCAGGAATCACTCCAATTGCTCCCTCAATTATAACTCTCTGTTTGTGATCTCAAATTTTCAGCACAGAGTTCATGTCTTTATCGAGTTGATTCGGTAACTCGTGAACATTTTTTACACTGCCTTTCCTAATTGTATTTCGTCGTTGGTTTGCGTCGTCATTCAATGTACTCCTTTTCGATCGCCGGTCTTTAGCTCGGACTGTTCTATTCTACGCATCTATTCAACCCGACAATTAGAAAGTACTCTACTCAATCTACGAATTCATCGATTCTTTTCGCGCGCTACATGTATCCATGTTTATATAATTCTTTGACCCTGGGAATAAGTGATAGCAAATGAAACTCGACAACAATGCAAAAATATATGTCGCGGAGATGGTTCTTGTCAGTCAGAATTCTGAAGGTTAACCCCCGTCTACAATGCATCGGGTACTTATCAGCAAAATGTACCTTTATGTTTTAACGTTTTGTGTGGTTTACCACTTCAATATTACAGTTGTTGGTTTGATGGTCTGTCCGGGCCTCGGACATGGCCTCGGACAAGGCCTCTATAATGTAAATCTGCTCTTCACGTACAATGCTGGCCTCGCAACAAGATCTAGCCGCCCATTTCGCAAAATCGACTCTGATTCTACCTCTGTTCTCGGCTGCATTGAATTTCATTGGGGCTTTCTCAATCGGTCCCCAATGATTACGTATCCTTTTACACGAAAGCGCTCAAAAGACCTACTGTTCTCAAATCTTGGGCCACGGCGGCGAGTTTTGGAACGAGTCTGGCCATTGCATACAACGGTCCAAGTTTTGAAAAGATTTCGCAGTCAGTGATTCATCCACGTATAAGTATACATGGACAGTAACATAAGATGATTATGACCCCGCTCATTATATTTAACACCGAGACACATCACATTCCATCACGTCTTCACAGATCACACAGCCTCGGAATCATTTGCTTAGAGTACTCGAGATGAGACGCAACAAAGCAACTTCAATCAGTAGCACTCGTGCACTCTACAACCCCTCGGATACCGAAGCAACCGAAAGTGATTCCTCTTATGTAGCCTCGGGCAACAAAGACGGAACCAAGATGAAGAAGATGAGCCGGAGAATATAAGGTAAACTCGCTCGGCCACGCCCGAAGGAAAGCGCGAAGAACCCAATTTCTCTTTAGCCTGTGCATCGTTCACGTTTGGGTTTGTTAGAAAACACTCAGCATGATATGATGGGAAGGAATCAATTCACGGGTTTGAACTTCAAGCTATTTTTCTTTGGGTTGGATGGTGGAATATACGTCGTTACTATACTCACATTTATTTTGTTAGCATTCCGTGAGTATGATGTGTTCCTGGATATTAACTTGTTACAATAATATTCCATCTACAGCCAACCGTCCCTATTCAATCTACGTATCGCACATCTTGTTACATCATATGTCCAACATATGTCCCAAAAGATTTTTCAACCGGACTGTATCGGTAAGATCTCAACCCAGATCTGACCATAGTAACGTCTCTATTCTGGGACATAACAACGTCCCTAGTTTGTTCAAGACGATCAATCTCATAATTGCGGAGCGAGCTCTACCAATCTCTGAGAAGAAAAAAGTGTCGTTGATGCTGAGTCTAAACCCTTTCCAATTCTCATGCGCATAACAACCAAGACTAATTAATGGTCCAGGAACATCACTCTATTGCCAAACAGTCTAATAATCGATTGACAGTCCTATTCAGAGCGGACCGAGTCGAGATAGAGAGCCAAAGTGTCCCATGTTAAATAGCAATCATATCAATGAAATTTTATTGCATGCGCGATGTCTGTCCAGTACTAACTAGTGAACATCCCAAGAACAATCCAGTGCCCACCAATCCTCACGCTATAGTGAAGGAGATCGAAAGCCTTGCCATTATTGACCACCGCTAATATGGAATTGATAGGGGTAACAGGTGGGTGAATCGTGAGTTATTTTCAGCATTTTCCATTTTCTATTCGTATTCGTATTCGACTTCGACTTCTTCGGCGCTTCCAATATTGATAAGAATCCCGGGCTTTGCGGGATAGTACAATTCTTCCAGCTTCCACTCTTCTGTCTTATGGAAAAAACATTGTATCTTGCAGGTAGGTCTCTTATTTGGACTTCAACTTGATAACAAAAGCACAAGACAAGAGGCAGAAGTTGTAAATTGGTGTTTCTCGCCAGTACGTACTGAGGAGAAATTACTCTATAGCTTCTTTTATTCTTATGTTCAAGACTGCAAGTGTCGTCCATTATCGAGAAGTGGCGTTGGGAGGCTGCTCGGATCGTCTGATGATTACTTTCTAGAGTTATCGGCTGATGCTAAGTAGATTTCTGATGTAGACCAGGACAGTTAATTAATTCATTAATGATAGATGAGGTTGATAAATGGCCGGTAATCTTTTGAATTTCGCTACCATTCTCCATGCTCATTGCAACCATGCCATCTTCTTTTCCACAATAGAAGAACATCGGATCGATCGCATATTAGCGCGGTCACCGGCACTCTGTTTTCTCCATTCTTCTATAGAAAAAGCTCGAAATCTATCGTCTCATACATACTTGACATTCATTTTGGCCAAAGCCATCAGCTTGAAAATGAAATCCCATGGCTAAGTAATACACCACCCAGAGTAATCGTCGTTTCCATCATCGTACCATTTATCACCTCTTCACTATGATTGTGTCCAAATCCAACGGCTTTCGTCTGAATTCGTACTTCCTGTCCAGTAGCAATATCCCATCTCTTGGCGACTGGGTTGAAAAAGATGTCGCTACTTGCGCCCGTCGTTTCGTTCTTTCCGAGGGCACGAAAATGCCAATAGTAACCTCGCCTTTGCCGTTGTTCCGAGTGGAACTAACTTCAGAGTATGCTCTATAGATCAACACTGTAGCCCGACCTATACAGCAAAGCATGGTACTGTATGATAGCTATACCCCAAGGACAATGCTAACCTCATATGCATCCATATCATTTTCATTCAAAGCCCTACAGGTCAGATATTCCGTTCTAGCCTATCATCTGGAATGAGCAAGAGCATGTACCTTCTGTCTAGGCTTCACACTCTCATTCCTGGTCCAGGTCCAGGATTAATGCTGGAATTCTTCTGATCTGTAAGAAAGGCTTTGATATTATTGCTGAAATCGCATCGATGGAGAAAGAATATTAAGCTTAGGATCACCAAGGATGGAACCTAGAAGTTACAAGATATGAACTTTCCAGAACCAACTAGTATTTGGTGTGATATAGCATAGCGCAAGAATGAAAAATGGTATAAGATATCCAGGAGCGGTTTATGCGGATACTATACTTTGCTTTTCTCCGAGTATCAAACGATTTTCAACTTCGTGTGTCTACTATCTATCTCAATCCACTTTACTATTCCATTTCCAGTAAACACCTATCTATCTTTTCGGATAGCACTCGGTATTCAGTACTCACTCATACAGAAGAATCAACTTGATATTGATACCGACATTCACCAAACGGCAACAAAAGCTCCTAGCTCGTATCTTCACTGTCATTATATTCTCAAACCTCAGATATACATATACCACTGGTGTATACCATCATCTCCAAACTCCTCACTCCTCACTCCTCACTCCTCACTCGAATCTTCTCCCTCACCCACCTCCACCTCCTTCAGATCTTTTCTCTCCCCTCGAAGTCTAACAATCTGCGTTGCGGTCTTCTGATATTTTCTCAGCAAGTTTAATGTCTGCAACTATTCGTAATTGTCTCTTAATATATTCGTATATATTGTAGGAAAGATAGGCGGGCCATGTTTGCTAACCAGCACAGTGATAGGGTCCCGAGCAGTTCCATTCTACTGACTTGAATCCATAAGCTAGAGATGCATCAAGATATCTGTAGCCAGCCTTCAAACAAATCTAACAATCTATATATCAAACGTGTCCTGGTAAATGAATAGATATTTGATTTAGACATGAGAATTCTGTAGGACACGACATGACATGACACGACATATTTGCAAGATGAGTAGTATTCATATACCGATATGCTATAATGAGACCTTCTCATCACATGCCGAGTCATTACTGCAAAGTTTTCCCTAAGAACCAAATCGCCGATACCGAAAAGCCCAATTAATCCCCCGTGTGTCATTTAACCAAGGTGTTCTTTATCAACCCCTTAGAAACACATCGCCGACACCTAAGATGCCCAATTAATCCCCCGCCCGTATGTCATTTAATCAAGACGTTCTCAAACAACCCACTTTGTGTTCTTGTCCCTCGATCCGTATCCCCTCACATTAGCATTTTGACCCCAACCAACCCATTCAATGCCAAACCTTCACATTCCCTCTATATCACCATTCCACCATCCCACCACCTACCATCCTACCACCTACCATCCTACCACCCACCCATCAACCCCTTGCCCCTCCTTCCCACTTCCATTTCCACTTATATTATCTTACTTCCTCCCCACCATTCAATCCCCTTCCACGCAACCCCCCCTTCCTTACTTCTTCCCCTCCTCCCCACCCCCATGACTATATGCCACCCCCATCGCACCCACATCATTTCTCCACTCCTCCTTCTTCAACACCTCTTCCACATGCAACCTCTTAAGATCCTGATGATTCCAACTTTGATTTCTGACCAGGAGATTCGGTTTCCACGTTTCGATGGGTGAGTGCAGGGCTTCACCGAGGGAATTGCGGCGACCGTCTGGTATGGAAACTTCGAGGGGGATGGGGTTGGCGGAGGTAGAGGTAGAGGTGGGGTGGATGGGAAGGGTTTTGGAGGTGTTGAGGTGCTGGGGGGGAGGAGCTTCGTTGCTGGGTTTGGAGGTGTGGGATGTGGTGGATTGGGTGGCAGATGTCATGTTGGTTTTTATTTGGGGTGGAGCTTGGTGGTGTAGGTAATGTATGGGTAGATGGATGAAGGATAGCTTTGTTTGCTATATGCTGATTGATGGGATCGATTGAAGACGAGAAGATAGCGAAATAGCCTTGTCCTAATCAACGTATTGCGAGTTATTGGATCAAAGACGAGAGAACAAATGGTTTTCTTCTTTCCTTCTTATATCCGGATTGCTCGAGGAAGTAAAAGATGAAGCTACCAGTATGCTATCAACACACGTAGACCACAATGATCTTTTGTGCTTGTGCTTGTGCTTGTGTTTGTACTCGGGTAGTGTAGTTATTTGTAACTTCCAATTGTTGATGTTGATGTAGAAAGTAGAAAGTAGAAAGTAATACTCGAATCAATACAAATATACCCAGTATACCTGATATACTAGTATGCTACTATGAATCATATGAATCGTACCGTATCGTATGACCCTATTCGAATATCATGAGATTCTGTTTACTTACTACTGACTTACTACCGGTACTTTATCCCTAGTTCGTATAGGTAGGTACCTATTTCTGGTTTGGATTCCTGTTTCGAGTTCTGGTTCCTGTTTCCCAATCAATACATATCGCAATGAGTGAATAAGGAATAAGATGTTGTGTGTAGTAGACTCTGTACTCGAGTAGAGAAAGAACGATAACGATATAGCAATGACGATCTTGACCTTAGGTCATCAGCAATACTCGAGTATACATAAACAAATCACATTATTCACCTTACCCCTCTTTCTCCAACCTCGCTTCTCCTCTCCTTACCCTACCTATCTCATCAAACCATTGGCCCATTGACCATAAAAGAAATACCGGTACATCCCACCATGATCCATCACCCATCAAGCTACTACCTAGGTCACTATTTCTCCAAAAACAAGCTTCATTCACAACATTTTAACCCCCGTACTAGCCCCACTATAAATAGAGGGTCCAATTAAAAACACGTGTAGTAGGACCCATTTCTAGCCTATTAAAGTTAGATATAATGCGGGGTCGCGTAATTGCGTAATTGTGGAATGATGATTGTCAGTAACTGTACTGATAAGAATAATAATTCTCTTATCGTCATTTTTAATGGCTTGCTGCCTTGTTATTTATTTATTTTACTTCTCACTGTCGCAAAAGTATATCAACACATCAACATCATATCATTCTCCTTTATTCAATGGTTCATCATCAGATATCGATATGCGCGTATTCTATCTCATTTCACCACTCACTTGCGATACATGTTAGAACTTCATGAATGCTTTTTTATTATGTTTTTTTTCTACATGACAACCTCGTCTGAAAGTCTGAAAGTCACTTTTACCTCTCGATGCGCATTCTGAATAGGATCGTCTCGAAAGATATGCAACCAGCAGACTACAAACGCGAAATGATTACTGACGCCTCGCTATGCAAAAGAAAAGGGTATGGGGTCCTGAAAATGAAAATGGCCTGATATCATCCATCCATCCATCATCGTATACAAACAGTTTTTTCCGTTATGCAACCCTACCATACCGACACACGACCATCATGAAAGTCGTTTATTTTATATCTTGCGAATTGATGTTGAAGTTGTGAAGCGTTGACCTCCCTCGACAATTCGATCCTTTCCTCAAGCGAAACCTCAAGCTATACTCAAATACATCTATGGAAGTCGTGGACGCTTCCAATAATATTGCTACCAAGAAGTTAGATATATGTAGGGTCAACTGGCGGATGGATAATACCTTGTGTTGTTTTCTACAGTTCCTCAAACTGGGTTTTCTCAATCCTTCCTGGACTGTCTCCTTTCTTGACTGATCGGTATCTTCATCTGGGATGTAGTAATATTCGCTCTCAAGTGGCTTTCCCGCAGCGTCCTTGCCTTCTCGATGAATTTCGCCAATGAACGATGTTCTATTCAACATATTTCGAAGATATTCCTTGGTAAGGCCCTTGTTCTCTTGCTTCGAAGGACTAACACCTCTGAGGTTGGATGGAAGGTTTCTAAGAATCGTTGACAATGGTATGGATTGAAGACGAGAATACGCAAGTTGGTTTGCTACATGATTGATTACAGGAGTAACAGCACCCTCTTCAGTGGATGTGGAGCTCGATCGTTTCTCGGGAGATACCTTAGACTCGCCTTCTTCGCCGCCACGAGCTTCTGGGGAATGACCAGCTGTGAACTGAGCCATACGCGAGGACAGATCTGCACCATAAGGACCAAAGGAGTGAACGATGGGATCATTTTCTTCATCAGGATCTTCGTCTGGTTCACTCAACTCACTCTCTTGACTGGCTGGGACAGATGCATTGAACGATGTTGCAGCGACTGTTGGTGAGTTTGCTGGTTCAGGGTCTTTAGACTCGGTAGCTGGAGCTGGCTCTGGCTTATCTTCATATACTTGAATGAAGGTCTTTTCCGCGTCGTCAGAAAAGAGGTTGGCCAAATTGGCAGAGGAAAGGCTTTGGCGAGCGGGTGTTGGTGATACTGGCGACAAGTGACGTTCAACATGACGAATTGGACTGGAAGGAATAATGTCACCTTGAGCAGTAACGGCAGTGACCTTACCCCTAGGAGAACTATCCTCACTCCACGAAGGAACTTCTGTTGGAGTAGCCACGTCAGAATGATCACCTTGTGGCCAAGCAACCAAAACTCTTGCATCCTGAACATCTAACATGATTTCAGCATTTTCCGTTTCCGAGGTGAAACTATCTCCCTTTGCCAACTCCCATGTTCGACCTTGACAATGTAACTTTACTCCGTTCCATCCACAACAGATAATCTCAATTTTATTCGACTCGAGCGGAACAGTTGCAGCAATGTAGCGAGCTTTGATGTGAACACGAGAGATGAGACGATTGGCAGATAATTGATAGTGAGAGGAGTTGCTGGATCTACCCATGAGTAGAGACTCTCCATCTTCAGGAAGAGTGATTGATGGCACAGCTGAAAGGGGAGCTCTTTCAATAGAGGATCGAGTTCGATGGAGACCGGCCCGAGCGTGTACCCCTGGAGGAGAGGATGAAAGGATACCAGTTGCGGAAGTAGGAATTGGTGTGGGATACTTGTAAGCCGATTCGAACTTAGATGGTGAAATACGCACCCTCTTATTATTACGACCTGGGAGACTAGGTGAGGAGGAAGGAAGTGGTTCGAAGGCTGGGAGAAGTGTTGGTGCAGGACGCTTTGTACCCGCGATGGTTGGCAAAGCAGGCTGAGCATTTATCTTGTTTGGTGAAGAGTCCATCATGATAGATGGCCTTTGATCACAATTGATGAAAGCCCAAAGGAATTTTTCTTCAAAGTGGATATCTAAATACCTAAGACCGCGACCTTAAAACGCGGTGGGTGAGTTGAGTTTCTTAACGCGAGGCTCATAGGATTTGTGAGATGCCGAGGACAGAAAGAACTTTGTTGAAATCAGTAAATGGGTAAGACCAGAATAAAAAGAATTTGCAGACCTATGAAAGGAACTGCCAAAGGATTTGTAAAAGAAGAGACTGGGTATTTTTTTCGTACTGGGCCTCCGACCAGGTCTGTCTCTGGTTTGGAGGTGTAGAAGATCGGAAAGATTGAAGAAGGAGGTTAAAGAAGTTCCCAAGACCCATCGGCAACCAGACGCGACCCGCGTTGGAGTCTAAAAATGTTCATGGGCCGCTTTAAGGATTTAAATGAATTCTGCCATTTTTTTTGCATTTCTAGCCTCAGCCTCTAAATAATTACCTAGGTATCATTAATTTCGGATTGAGAGATTGGGAGAGAAAAAAAAAGTGAATTTATAGGAGGGGGTATCTACTACCTAGGTATATTTTTGAGTGTTGTATATTCACTTATTTGAGAGTGTTGAAGAGATGACTTTGATACTTTCTTTTCATTATCTAGGTCGGAAGTATAGATAGGTACAGGAGCACAGGTAGATATTTCCATTGACATTCTTCATCTTCATCTTCATCTTCCTTACCTCTTCTGTGAATTAACTCCATTACAGTTCATTCATATCTCAATAGGTACTCGAGTAAACCACCTCATTTTCTATTTTGTAGATATATATGAGATTTTAAACTCTTGATAAAGTAGAGTAACTAGGTACTTTCGAGCCCATTCATTTTATATCTACTCGTATATCCCCGAGTATAATTAAATACAATATAAGCAATTCTATACACAATATGAATCCATAACTTTCCACACCTCATTCATTCCCTCGTCCCCTTATTCCGTCCTCTCATTCCCTTTCACCAACCGCAAGCCTAGCCCATTCAGTCAGCAATTTTTGCACTCTACAAGTTAGTACTCGCCCATACCACTACACGCGACACAAGTTCTAGTACAGTAGTCCCATCCAGCCTCGTACCTCGTCTCGTGCCTTTGCGATGCGATGCAATGCGATGTGATGTGCGTGCAAACTTTTTACGCGCTGGATGAGTTACGTGTGGTATGGTGTGGTATGGTATGGTATGAAAAGAGGTGACGTGATTATTATATTAGATAGAGTCAAGATGTCAGAGCAAATTGTCAGAGTATTTTTTTATGTGATTGTGTTTTTGAGGTTTGATTTAGTTTGAGCTATACTGTACTCGAGGATATAGCAAGTTATTAGGTAGTTGGAGCGAGTATAAGGAGGAGCGAGTAGGAGGAATACTAGGTAGGTGCAAGGTGCAAGGTGCAAGCAATGTTTGTTTGTTCTGTTTTCCTCTTCTGATGACTGCATGTTTTATATGAATGAGTTACCCAGTACTGTATGTAGTCAATTGCTTGGTACATGAATTTGATTGATGAATTTGATGTCTTTGAGGCGGTTGACATGGTGGAAGGCGGTGTAGGTGTAGTCTTTTTTTTTCGGGGGGGGGCCTGGGGGGGGCCTGGGG